AATTGGAGCAGTGAACTGTCAAGTTTTGGTAATTCACGTAAGTATTGTTCCCATTGTTTTGATATTTATTCTCCCCATCTCGTTTCATCATCATTATCTCCCTATTCTCTCTCTCTCTCTCTCTCTCTCTCTCTTCAGCCTCTGTTGATTTGACACATTAACAATAGTACTGTATGTTTGTTCTGGTAAGTAGGTGTTTTGGCATTGTTAGGCACATATGTGATATTCCAAACCGTGAACAAACATCTATCATGCAATTTTCACCGAAACAATCATTGAAAGAAAATATTTAAAGATTGGTTTGAAGAAAACTCAACCTTGATAAAAATACCCTTGGTCATCGATTCTCTATAAGAATACTCACTCTAAGGCTTTTATTGGTAGGAAGGATGGAAATGGGTAAGAATAGAAAACTTGTTAATCTAATGGTTAAACTACAAGGTAGGAAAGTGATTATGAATTTTAACCTTCCATTCTCACCTCTTTCTATCCTTCCTATCAAGCAAAGCCTAAATGAATAGATAATGGAAATGCTCATAAGAAACTAAATAAAGTTAACAGCATTAATGCATTTCAGTTCATAGGTCCTGATGACTAGATTTATTTTTAATACTTCATATTGTGCTATAAATTGTGCTGGTTTCACGAATTTAAGACTTTGTTAAGAAAGAGAGAAGTAGAAATATATATATATATATATATACGTTGAGAGAGAGAGAGAGATATTAATAGATACGGTTCTTTTTGGGTCTTTGAAGAAGCACAAGTGGAGTTTGTTTTTAGCCTTGGTTTTTTTCTCCCAATGTTGAGGGATGGGATGAGCGGGGAACGTGTTTGACTTGTGAGCACATCTGCTCAATTGCTCTTGCTCCCTAAATATGTTGATTTTAAAAGGAGGTCTTATAAATTTCGTTCTTTCATTCCTGGTGTAATGGTAGTGAAGCTCATTTTGTTATGTTGGCAGGGAACAGCAGATGAAGTTGTTGATAGTTCCCATGGTAAACAACTTTGGGAGCTTTGCAAGCAAAAGTACAATCCTTTATGGGTAAATGGAGGAGGACATTGCAATCTTGAGCTGTATCCAGAATTCATTAGACATCTGAAGAAGTTTGTACTGTCCCTAAACAAATCAAAAGCAGCCACAAACGGTTCTGAAAAAATAGCGTCTGAAAATCAGAAGATCAAACCATCTGACAATGGAACTTCAGATAGTTTTGAATTGGGTGCTGACCTTCCACAAGTTTCTAGAAACAGTTTAGATAGTCGACTTGAGAAGTGTAAGAAGTCAATTAAGCCTTACAAATCTCGAATGAGCACTGACCATTTTGATAGGTTTAGGAGAAAAAGGGGCTTAGTTTGGTGATTCTACTTAGACGATGAGCATCCTTACCTTAAATAAAAAAGTATGCGCATCTGTCCACTTGAGGAGGTGGTTTATACTTTTTTACATGTGCTTTTGTAATGTTGCAACACAGTCCAGCATAAGTCATGGGATTAATGAGTGTGATTTTTCTCATAAATGTTAATAATTTTTCTGTATTTATTGTATTGTATATTGAGAAAAATCTTACTACGTTATAAGTTCTTGTGTAAAAACAACAGCCCCAATGCTAAATGAATATAATATTCTAGTGGTTTCTGCTTCTCAAAAACATTCCAACTTACGAATTCTAAGATAGTATGGTAAAGGATATGAAACCAATTTCTGCAGATAAAAGCAGAAACGGGACATACAACTTCGAGTGCTTAAGTTTTGGGTCTTACACACTTCCCTTGATTATATGGTAAATGCTAAGACTCCACATATAAGACAGCGGTGATCATCCATGATGATTGAGAGCCAATAATTGAAAAATGTGTATATATATATATATATATATATATAGGTATATATATATATATATAGGTAAGCTGATCATATTCAGATTAGAGCTATCAATCATGAAATTCCACAATTCCTAAGAAAATTAAGGGTGTCATAGTTGAAATAGAATAATATATATATATATATATATATGTGTGTGTGTGTGTGTGTGTGTGTGTAGTGGTTCTTAACCTTTTTAGCAAAGCTTCATTTTGAACTCAAATCTCTCACTTGTTTTATTTAAATCCCAAACTTTTATAATTAATGGCAACAATTTTGTCCTTCCCTCACATAGTTCGATTCAAATGGATGGAAAGTGTTTGTGGACAACCACGTACATTTTGGCAAATGTATATGTTCATTATGTTACAGAGTTATTTAATGAAAAGATATTTGAAGAAAAATTTAAAAAGTTTTGGATATAAATGGAAAATTTGAAAAATTAGAGATTAAAATGAAATTTCATTGAAATGAAGGGACTTACGAAACATTTTACTCCGAAGTGAACGGTTTGTAGAATATGAATCAACAAGTTGCTTGATTCTAAGGAAGGTATTGGTTAAGGTAGAGAGAAATAATGAGACTTGAAATGATATGTCTAAAATGACGTGAAACATCTTTCACCATCCAGCAATTACATGAAGTAGGTTAGAACTTAACAATAAATATGATAGATATAAGGTACCTTGAATTCATCCTTGGAAAGCATAAATCATGCATGCTTAAGATGTGCCAATGTGATTACTTATATATATATGTATGTATATATTTGATAATTATTAACAAAAAGAAAGAAAAAAAGACAATTACCCTACTATTTATGTCCAAAGTGTGAATCTTGTGTTAAGATGGATACTTAATTTACTTATATATATATATATATATATATATCAACTTTCATCTTGAAATGCAACTTTGTGTGGGCCATTTTTGTTGATTTAAAAAATCTTTAAATGTTGACATCTAATTCAATCAAACTATGCAAGAAAAGGCATGAAAATTTATATGGCTCTTAAATTTTTTAATTAATTAAAGAGTGTTTATATTAGGTGGGCGGCATGCAATTATTACAAGAAAAAGACTTTGTCAAGCAATAGGTGCTGATGAACTAACAGTGTGGAAATATATAGCTTTAAAAGAGACCATATAATTCCATGACTGCAAGAAAAGAAAGAGAGGATGCATGTGGGTTATTCCACTCACATAAGTTTCATCCATGCAATGGAAATATAAGTACATTTCTTTTTAATTATTCAATCGTATATATATGTATATAATTTGTTATTATATTCCCTTTGTTCAAGCAAATCAAAGTTTTTGACTTGGGACCCACATTAGCTTGGATGATGTGCAGAGTTTGAAGATAGAGTAGGACAGGGTTTTATAATTTCTATAGGACACAAAGAAACAACAGATTCGTTCTTCTTAGACTCTTATTTGTTTAAATAAAACATAGATTATATCGATAGGAGCATTTGACTCAATTTTTAATGATATATTTTTTTTTTGGGTTTAAAGATATGGGTTGGAATTCCCTTAATTACTTCATTAATTATCAAATATTTTTGTAGGTTATCTGATAAATTTGAGAGTAAAAGAGACAGTACCAAAATTTAAGGTGAAATTAAAATTGGTTAGGTGTAGCTAATTATATAAATAGTTTATAATTGAGCAAGTCCCGACAATTCTAAAAAGTTTCAAGTCTTCATTTTTATCATTCTAAAAAGTTAACTAACATATATTTGGTTTCAGATTCGGAAAACAACATCACAATTATGCGAAAATGAAAAGAACACAGAAAATCCAAAAGATTATTAAAGAGAGTCTCTGAGGATTATCTTTGCTTGGACACCTCTAAATCTTACTGATATCACTTCATTTTTCTAATCTCTTATTTCTTCTCACTGACCAGCGAGTGAATTTGGGCAAGTTCAGGGAACCATGCACTAGAAAAGAGCAAAGAAACAGATGCCAAAAGTGTTTGGAGCGAGAGTGAGAGGAAGAGGAAAAAGCTTCCTTTTAAATAAACCGGACGATTTGAAATACGAGATAATTGTACGATATGAAAACGATACAAATAAAATATATAAAAATAATATAATTTAAAATTTTATAAAAATCATAAATATATTTAATAAAATTAAAAAAATATATTTTATATGATATAAACTGTGAAATATGATTTTTATATAAAATATGACATAAATATAATATTTTATATGATATAATAACATAAATTATCATATCTACTTTTAACAGTGTTCATGCATTGAATTGTAGTTTGTGTGGTTGATATTTAAAAAGTTTTAATTTTTTTAAAAATATATTAAAATATTATCAAATTAAAATTTTAATATGTATATTAAAATTAAATAAAAATAATGTTTACTAATAAAATAACATCTCAAACTAAACTAGACTGAAAAAACGTATTCAAAATTCGGTCCTAAATGGGTAGTCCAACGGAGCGGACGGCAATCCGTAACGTGGATAGATATACTTACTTTAAACCTCCACAATTTATGGTGGTTAGTAAGATTCGTAAAGATCTTCCCTTAATAATAAAGCTTAGATTTCAACGTCAATCACGCAAATTAATGTTCAAAATTATAATCTAACACTATACTTCATGGTGGCCCCGCCGGCGGAATACTTGATTTACCTTCAAATCCCCCTTTTCTTTCTCAAGCTAATTTCCTTAATTAATTTCTCTATCCTAACCTGTTAGATTTAGAGCATGTTAAAACAAAAATTAATGGATCTAATCTTTTTTTATACTAAAAATTAATATAAATTGAATCTTGGTTATGGAAATTAAAAACTTAATGCTCTATAAATTTGACTAATGATTGAAATATTAATCTTGATTATAATATTAAACTGCCAATTAAACATGAAGAACATAGTGATTACACGTGCATCATGAAGTTTTGATGTGAGAAATAATAATTATAAATGTATATAATCATATCCAGCTTGAAATTAAAAACTCTAACAGCCTTGATTTAAAAAAAAAAAATACCGACACTCTAATAAGTAATATACAGGTAATTAATTAATAATAGATTTGTTTTGTTTACCCAAAAAAAAAAAAAGATCTGTTTTGAAGTATAAAATCCCAAAGAGACTAATTTAGTTTTCTTGCTCAGTGCATTTTCTTGGGCAAATTTAGCTTTCCTCTTCTTGGGGATTATTTTCACAACCAACACTCTCCTTTTTCTTGCCTGTCTTCACAATCTCAAGTAAATTGCCTTATTTAAATTTAGCTCATGAAACCCAACTAGCAATTTGTTGATTTGTACCAGTAGTTTATAGCGCCAGAAACTGCCTTATAATTCCAAGTTCTAACTCATCTTTTTTTCTCATGGCTGACATTGATTTTCATGCAAAACCCTTGAAGCTCTTTGGCTTCAATATAGTGGAAACCACTGCCAATGATTCAAGCAAATCTCCATCGGGATTACCGGAACTAGAAACCGATGCCCGTAAATTTGAGTGTCAATATTGTTGCAGGGAATTTTCTAACTCTCAAGCCCTAGGGGGCCACCAAAATGCTCACAAGAAGGAAAGGCAACTACTAAAGCGTGCACAAATGCAAGCCAGTCGAAGTTTCTCATCTCCTCACCTCCAAAACTCCATGATGTCGGCTTTTGGACTTCCGCCGCACCTCCTTGTCCCGAAGGCGGTACCAGAAGCTGCGCCACTGCAATATCATTCTCCATTTTACATGTTACATGGAGGAGCAGCTGCAGCCCCATTGAATATGTTGCATGGTGGTACGTACCTTTACGGGCCGGCTGCTGGGCTTGGAAGGCGTCTATATACAGGAGAAGAAGGGGCGGCCGCGATGTCCGGTGATGTCCGAGATCATGCCAGAGTTTTGCCAGCGGTGAGGCGGTTCACCGGAGATGATGGTGGGCCTAAGATTGATAAAGGATTAGCTTTGGATTTGCATCTCAGTCTTGGGCCGGCTGTTCCATGAGATAAAAATATATAGACTTTGTCAAACTTCAATTTATAAAATTGGAGTAGTTGGGAGTTGGGACATGTAATTTTTGCTGATAATGATTTCTATGAACTTAATTTATTGAGTAAAGCAATTATACATCTATGTATTTTTTTCATTTTTAACTCTTAGCCTTGTTAATTCCCCTAAATTAGTTTAATCTCTTAATTAATTAGGAGTAATATTCAGAGGCTGTAGATTATATATGGAACGGGAAGCAAATTCAATTATAGAATAATTTTTCAAACGATGAAGGTTTGCTAAGTTTACTATGTTTGCACTTTATTTATTCCAACTTCACCTATATATATTTGGGGGGGGGGGGGGGGGGAAGGGAAAGGTGGCCGGTGTGATTAATAAGATGAAGAATATTTTAATCCAATCACAATTATATATTCCACCTTTTTTTTTAACAAAGATAAGAGATGAGGATGGTTGGATTGAATTCTCATTTTACATTTTTTTAAAAAGTTTTTTTAATCACTATATCAAGATTATGAAGATTTCAACTGTTTTTTTATATAAAAATGATTCTCTCCACTACTTAAAAATTTATGTTTGTTCAAATTATTTTTTATTTTTAATTAATTTTTAATTATTTTATATTTAATTTAAAATTATTAAATATTCACTATAAATTTAATTAGAAGTGTACTTATCACCCTTAGACAAAAACATAAAAACCTTTCACTGATTTTTAGATAAATGATAGGATCCTTTCTCTTTTTACATATATAGCAAGTAATTTTATAGAGAATGATCCTCTTCACTAATTAAAAAGTAATGAAAGTTTTCACTACTTTATATGAAATTGAATAATGAACTTCTAAATTAATTTATGATTGATATTTATTTAAATACTTTCATCTTTTTAATTAATTTTTATTTATTTAAAAATATAATTTAAAATCTAATTGAAAGTGCAACATTCACTCTTAAATAAGTAGTGAAAATTTTCACTAAATAATAGAAAGAATCTTCTCCAGGGTTTAAGATTGTTTATCTCCGAACCATTTACCAATGTACAAATGTTGCATGGAAATACACTACACAGAATACTACTGAAGCATGCAAGAATATTTGATCTTATTTTTTTTTTATAAATTATTAAGTGAACTAATTTATTACTAATTTACATATGGTATATTTGTATATATACATACACATATATAATTAGATATTTAATTTTTGGTATATAAAAATATTTGAATATATATTCGCACGTACAACTATATATATTATTTTCTTAAAAATGCTCCATAAAAAATAACATGCATTTTAGCAAATCAATCCAACGAAAATGTTTTCAAAACATAAAGAATAATCAAGAGTTGCTTTTTTTTTTTAGTCTAAGGCTTTAATTTAGTGGTGAAGAGAACGCCTAAAATCTTAAAGTTTTAGGTTCAAATTTTATTTACGTGAATTTAATTGTTTAATTAAATTATAATTTATTAATTAATTATTTAATAGTGTAATGTTTAACTATGAATTTGATTATGAATGCAACTTAAAAAAAGATGATTTTTTTTTGTTAAAAAAATTATGCGTACAAACTTTTATTTAAAAAAAAAAAAAAGGATTTCAGTTTTATAAAAATGTTTTTAACTACGAAACATAAATGGGAAAAGCCCAAATTCCCTTTAGAAAGCCCATCAATTATTCTTTAGTCACATCCCCCCCCCCCCCCCCCATTGTCTCTTTCAGCTTTTATTTTTATTGGTATTTCTGTCAGCTTATCTTTTTATTGAATTGAACTACCCAAAGACAAATAGGTCAGTTCCTTAACTATATTTATTCACTTCTAATTTATATATATCATTTTTTCTTTTCTTTTTTTTTTTTTTTTTTTCATTTTTTAAGATAATTTTTTGAGGTATTCAAGTAGCAGCAAAAAAGCTGTGACTTTATCTTCTTTATTTGAGTTCTACAGTTTTCTTTCTTTCTTTCCTTTTTTTTTTTTTTTGGGTATCTCTTGTTCAGATTGATTGCTTCACTGTATCTCCTGTTCTGTGGTAAAAGCTGCTCATTATCAATATTGGGTTCAGGCTGAATTTGGCTATGGAAACAATGTAGAAATTAGAGTGAAATGAAACATAACAATGAATTGTCAATTTCTCATTTTTCTATTGTGCTTTAAACCGAAAATTTATAATCAAAGATTGCATTTTTAGATAAATGAACAAGAAGTAACAGGAAAGCCAAATATTCTTTCTTCATTTCATAATTGATAAATATTTTGTGCTATGCTTTTTTAGATCAATGTTGCATGCAATCTCTGTTCCAAACGCTTAAATTTCGTATCCAAGAAGCCTGTGTTTTGGACAAAGGAATCTAGGGTCAACAAGGCTCTGTTTGCGTGCTTCATTGCCGGCTAATAATGATGGATTTAATGTGGAGTATACACCTTGGTTCATTATTGGGCTGGGTAACCCTGGAAATAGGTACCATGGAACTCGGCACAATGAAATCAATTACAAATTATGAAGCTGAAAGCTTAATTTTTCTTTTGGTTTTTATGGTATTTACTTTGTTATATGTATCAGGTTGGTTTTGAAATAATTGAACAAATTTCTTGAGTGGAAGGGCAATGAACACTCTACTCTACAGTCAAAAGCTCTAATTGGAATAGGTAATTTGTGATGAAATTGTATGGTGATTATTATGACATGGTGGAGTCAGGGTCACAAGGTGGAGCTGAGGTAGCTAAAAAAGCTGAGGTAGGCAAAAGAGTTGAGTTGGTTGGAAACATTGAAATAAAGGAAGAAGTTGGTTATGGAAGAATGATGGAATATTCGAGTCAGTCGTACAAAGAGCAACAAAAATGAGTATGTTAGGAGACGATTATGGGAGCTGACAGAATATAAATAGTTGGTTGATTACTGAATTATTATTACTATGTGCTTAAATTATATTGGACAGATTTTAGAATTATAATGTCAGCACATGTATTGAATATAACCATGTTGCACACGCGATTGAGGAGTATGAATGAAAATTTACAATTTCTTTCTATTTTCTCAAACTCTCTCTTCTTTCTATTTTGGTCTTTCATTTCTTTTATTTCCCTTCCTTCAATCAACCGACTCATTACATAACAAATTGGTATAAGAGTTTCCTAGATCCAATATGGGTAAGCAAAACAAATTCAAATTCATGGCAGAAGGCACTAGGCTTACCAAGTTATAGGAACAAGTCCAGGCTCTTCAAGAAAAAATGGAAGTAGAACCAAATTGGTGGGAGGCTCAGCAAAGTAACATTGAAGTTAAGTTAGCCAAAAATTAGAGGAGTATTCATTTGGTGCTCGAATAGAGGAGTGTTCTTGAATCTCAGCTAGCGGAAAATTAAAGGAATATTACCTAGGTCCTTGAGCTATTATCACCACAAGGAGCAAAAATTGATCAGTCTGAGTCAAGAGGTATTGAAAGTTCCATTAGCAATCAACCTACTCCATTGTCTTAGTTCAGAAAGGAAGGTAAGGCTCCTATTCAAATTACTGTGATAGATGATCAAGGTAAATATACTAACAAAAGTGATGAACTTGGAATTTTAGCTAAAACCCAGCTTGAAAACAAGAGCTATTTCTTTCAAAATAGTGCTGGACAATATAGAGAAGGTGATTTCGATGCTAGGAATAACTTTAATACTATAGGAAATGTATATGCCCCAAGACCCAAAATAAAACTTTCTATATTTGATGGTAGCAACCCAAGAGGGTGGCTTAAAAAATGTCAAAAATATTTTGCTATATTTTTCATTAGTGACCATCGGAAGCTTGAAATTGCTACTATGTATTTGACTGGGAGAGCTGAAGTGTGGTTTGATGGCTATGTTATGCAATGAAACATGGTGACTTGGCTACAATTTACTAGTGATCTGTGTCTAAAGTTTTATGATAGAACTTGTTCTAATGTTGTGGAGGAATTTAATAAGTTGAACAAAAAGGGGTTAGTGGATGAGTATCAAGAGAAATTTGAGAAAATGAAACCCTATATGTTGTAGTTCAATTCCCATTTAACAAAAAACATTTTGTTTCTAGCTTCATCAGTGGGCTTATAAAAGATTTAAAGCTCAGGGTTAAAGCAAATGAGCCTGGTAACCTTACTGCTGCATATAGACAAGCTAAGCTACATGAATTGTCCATTGAATTTGAAAACAAAAGGTTTAGATAGTTTCCCAAAACCACCATTACTTCCAATATTGGATCCTACTTGAAATCAATACATTCAATTACAAACCAAACACTAAAAACCACCAAAAATACCTCACCTATAACCAATAAAAAACTGATAGAGCAAAGGAGGGCACAAAACCTATGTTTCAAATGTAGTGAACGATTTTTTCTTGGACATGTGTGTAAGTTCAAACAACTTAATGCTACTAAAGCTAATAGGATGACTAAAGATGAGGACTGTGGTAATCTTGATGAAGATGTGGAACCAGAAATGATAGAAGAGCTAGATACTATTGAAAACTACAGATATCCATAAATGCTATAATAGGAAATATGAGGCATAATACCATCAAAATTGTAGGAACTATAAGAGAGAACCATTTACCATCCTTATAGATAGTGGTGGTACTTACAGCTTTATTATTCCAAGGTGAGCTAAGGATGGCATTGAAGTTGAACAAACTAAACCACTAACCATTACAGTAACTAATGGTGAAAAACTCTATAGTAATGCCAAGTGCAAGTGTCACAGACCTAAAGAGGAGTCTTGAATCTCACATCGAACATAATAGGAGGGTCACTGGAGTATAAAAGGGTTCATACCAATCTTTTCCTTGTGAGGTACCTTTTGTAGGATAAAACCGTGAGGCTAAGGGGGACCAAACGGATACAATACCTCATAAAAGTGTGAACCATGGCAGACAGACTGATCTGGAAACGTCGAAAAGGTGAATGCGTGGGTCTCAGAGCCTGTGAGTTTGAAGCTTAAGTCTCGACCCGTGACAAGTGGTATCAGAGCCAACCCTATACCGTTTGATCACACCAAGCACTTTGAGGGAGGTAGGCAGGGTGGCCAGCCTCCGTGACGAGAACGTCATGAGGTTAGATAGGGAGAATGTCACGAACTAAGGAGAGTCTTGAATCCCATATCGAACATAATAGGAGGGTCACTGGGGTATAAAAGGGTTCACATCATCTCTTCCTTGTGAAGCGTATTTTGTAAGATAAAATTGTGAGGCCAGGAGGGGTCAGACGGTTAATACCTCACAAGGGTGTGAACCATGCAGGTAGGCTGATCCGAAACGTCAGAAAGGTGAATGTGTAGGTTCCAAAGTCGTGCGGGTTCGGAGCTTAAGTGACTCATGACACAAGGAGTTAGCATGGGTGATGCAAGGTTACATGTTTACACATGATTTGAAAGTTTTACCAATGGGGGGTAGTGACATGGTTCTTGGTGTTGACTGGATGAAGAAGTATAGCCCTATGGTATTTGACTTTAATAACTTGTCAATAGCATTTCAAAAGGAAGGGCAATAAGTGGTATTGATAGGAAGTCATAAACAACCAGAATTCAAACTTATTTATGGTCAAAAGTTACTAAAACTAGTGAATAAGGAACATGAGCTAATGAGGAAATTTTATATGTTTAGTATGGAGAGTAGAGAAGATGAAGAATTTCCACCAAATTTAAAAGAACTATTGTTCGCATATTCAGACATTTTTGTTGAGCCAACTAAGCATATACCTAAGAGGTCTCATGATCACAGTATACCTTTTAGGAAAGGAGCTCAGCCTATAAACTTCAGACCTTACAGGTTTTTCTTATTACCAAAAAGCTAAAATTGAAAAGCAAATTTTTGAAATGCTCTCCTCATCAATCATCCAAACTAGTAAGAGTCTATTTGCCTCACCTTGCCTATTAGTTAAGACAAAAGATGGTTCATGAAGGCTTTGTGTTGATTATAGGTAACTTAATGCAGTGACAATCAAGGATAAATTTCTAATTTTAGTAGTAGAAGATTTGCTGGATGAACTCAAAGAGCTAAATTTTTCTCTAAAATTGATTTGCGATTGGGCTATTGGCAAATATAGTCTATTGGCAAATAGAGTTCTAGATGAAGATATTCAAAAACAGCTTTTAGGATACACCATAGGCATTATGAGTTTAAGAAAATGCCATTTGGGCTTACTAATGCTCCAGCTACTTTTCAGTCCCTGATGAATGCTATTTTTTCTCTTTATTTAAAGAAATTTATGCTAGTTTTCTTTGATGATATACTTGTTTATAGTACCATCTTGCAAGAACATGTGTTACACTTAATCAGCTGTTTGCAAAGATAAACAAGATTTTTTTTGGTCAGAAACAGGTTGAATATCTTAGTCACATTATCTCTGTGGATAAAGTGGCAATAGATATTCTAAGGTGGAATCTATGGAGAATTGGCCATTACTTAGCAATTTGAAGTCTTGATAGGATTTTTGGGGCTGATTGATTACTATAGAAAATTCATCAAGAGGTATGAAGTTATCAGCAAGCCTTTAACAGATATGTTGAAGAAAAATGGGTTTAATTGGATGCCCAAGACAATGGCATCTTTTCAACAACTTAAAGAAGCCATGAGTATAGCCCTAGTACTAGTTTTACAAGATTTTTGAAACCATTTTGCTTAGAGACTGATGCTTGCTTAACTAGCATATGAGTTGTATTATCTCAAGAAGGAAGGCCTGTTGCTTACTTGAGTAAGGCTTTAGGACCAAGACATGCTGATTTATCCATATATGAGAATGAGTATTTGGCCATTTTAATGGTTGTTACTAAATAGAGGCACTACTGGAAAGAGAGCCGTTCATCATCAAAATAGATCATAGGTCCTTAAAATATCTATTAAAGCAGAAGTTGTCCACAACCATACAAAAGAAAAGATTAATTAAGCTATTAGGCTTGAATTATACCATTAAGTATAGGAATGGTAAGATGAATGTGGTGGCAGATGCCTTGTCAAGGTAACATGAGGAAAGAGGAAGCTTGCACGCTTTAAACTCTACAACCATTATTCCAAAATGGGTTACTGAAGTGGAGAAGAGTTATGAAAATGATGCACTGGCTAAAAAAAAAAATACTCATCTTACAGTTAAACCTAGTGATGATCCTTAATACTCATTCATTAATAGAATGCTCAGGTTCAAGGTAAGGTGTATCTAGGAAGCCAAGGACCACTACGTGATTAGGTACTACAACTATTGCATGATTCTCCTCAAGGTGGACATTTTGGGGTGAAGCAACTTACTACAAACTGAGGCCTTATTTTTACTAGCCAAGAATGATGAAGCAAGTACAAGATATGTTCAACAATGTGAAGTTTGCTAGAGAAACAAAGATGAACATGTTGCTTATCTAGGTCTGCTACAACCGATACCTTTTCCTAATCAAGTTTGGGAAGTGATTATTATAGATTATAGAAAGTTTACCTCAGTTACAAAGATTCAATTGCATCATGGTTGTTATTGATAAACTCACTAAGTATGCACATTTCTTACCTTTAGCTCATTCTTATTCTGCTGTAGATGTGGCCAGACTATATCTTAACCAAATTCACTAACTTTATGGGACTCCAAAATTGGTGATATCTAATAGGGACAAAGTTTTTGTTGGTTCAGTTTGGCAAGAACTAATGAAGTTGTTAGGAACTTCTGTACATCTGAGTATAGCATATCATATTGAATTTGATGGACAATCTGAAAGGTTGAACTAATGTTTAGAATAGTATTTATGTTTTATGTGTTTCCTTAGACCAAAAACGTGGGCTCAGTGGTTACCTCTAGCAAAGTGGTGGTATAATTCGAGCTACCATTTTGCTTTGAAAATGACACCCTTTCAAGCTTTCTATGGTTATACTTCTCTAGGGTTTCTATGGGATGTTAGCAGCAAAGCTAGGGTATCTACTATTGAGGAGCTGTTAAAGGAAAAGTGAAAAGTTGAGCAAGCTACTGGTGAATCAATTGAAAAAGGTACAACACAGAATGAAGTTTTATGCTTATAGAAATAGAATTGAAAAGAACATTTGAGGTTGGGGATGGGGTGTATTTGAAGCTTTAGCTATACAGCCAGACTTCTCTAGCACTTAGAAAAAACTTAAAGCTTTCAGCAAGACACTATGGTCCATATCCTGTAGTTGCCAAAATTGGTAAAGTAGCTTATAAACTCTAACTTCCTAAGACTTCAAGGATATATCTAGTGTTTCATTTGAGCCTTCTGAAGAAAAAAATTGGAACTAAGGTTGTGCCTAGGATAGCTCCTTCTGAAGTGGGTGAAAATGGGTAGCCGTTAGTTTATCCTGCCAGGGTTTTTCATAAAAGGGTGGTTAAAAGAAACAACAAAGCTTCACTCAACTATTGGTAGAATGGAGTAATCTTGGACCAGAGAATGCTACTTAGGAAGATTATTCAGTCTTTAAGTCTAGTTTCCATCATTTGATCCTTAGGGACAAGGATCAATTAGAGAGAAGGGTAATGTGATGAAATTGTATGGTGATCATATTGACATGGTGGAGTCAGGGTCACAAGGTGGAGCTAAGGTGGCTAAAAAAGCTGAGGTAGGCAAAAGAATTGAGTTGGCTGGAAATGCTGATATAAAGGAAGAAGTTAGTTATGGAAGGATGATGGAATATTCGAGTCAATCGCACAAGGAGCAATAGAAATGAGTATGTTGAGAGACGGTTCTAAGAGCTGAAAGAATATAAATAATTAGTTGATTACTTAATTGTTATTACTATGTGCTTAAATTGCATTGAACAGACTTTAGAATTATGATGTCAGCACATGTATTGAATATAACCACGTTGTACATGCGATTAAGGAGTATGAATGAAAATTTACAATTTCTTTCTGTTTTCTCAAACTCTCTCTTCTCTTTATTCTAGTCTTTCATTTCTCTTATTTCCCTTCCTTCAATCAATCAACTCATTACACAACATAATTATTCAGTATTCATGTTGCTTAGGTCTTTATTTTTTCCTTCTTTTTTACATGAGATTTAATGCATTTTAGTCTTTCCAAATTCACATTTATGCTTGATGGTTTACTTGGATTCCTTATGTAATCAGTACATGTGCCATCGGGGCAGTACCAATTCTGTTGGCAAAGCCTTAGGCATACATGAATTTCAATGGGGTGGTCGGTTAGTCCTCGTACATTTTGCTTGCCCTATTTCTCGTCTCAACTCTATATAGCAGAGTCTGGGTTATGCTTATCAGGTATCAAGTCAGCTTGCATTCATATGTTCTTCTGAAGAATTTTCTCACATTTTGGTTGGCAAAGAAAAGACATTTGCACTTATTTTATAACATGGTTGGAAATGAGATGTCAAAGCTTGTGCTTGGAATTTTTTGCTGTATTTTATTTGATCTAATAGATAGCAATAACCTGGTTCCATATATTTGATGATTCCATGGTTAGGGTGAACTTGCCAATGCTTTTGATCCTGAAATCAGAAACCAAGTTTATGATGAGGCTTACAGTCATTTGATTCTGAAATTTTAAAATTATAGTAAGAATGATGATGTCTGGTTGCTTTAGTGTTTCCTTGACATTATGAACGCTGAACTAGGAATTGATGTTTTTAGGAAGTTTTGGTTGTTCCGATCTTTTAGTTTGTAGAACTAACTAATCTTTCCCTCTGATAATGTCAACTGTTATTGAATATTTTTCACAGATGGATGCCATGCCGCATTGGATCAAGCACTTGAAGCAATGAGAACCCTAGTGCTCAATGGATTCAACCACAAAATCACAATATTTAATTTAGGACAGAAGTACAAGCATCACAAAGTTTGATCATACAACTTTGACCATATCAATAAAATGTAGTGTTTAATCAAGGAAAAAAAAAGTTCATATTGGGTCCATACCTATTGTTTTACCCCTATAATATATCATCTTACATCTTTATTTATTTATTTATTTATTTATGTGATTGGTGAGGTTTGTAAGACATTCTTAAATTATTAGGCAGCAGCTGATTGACAGTTCATTAAATAAAAAAATTTGTGATCACCCCAAACTGAATCCATGGTATCAGAACTCTATCATAATAATCATTCAATGTTTACGTACAAGATGTACGTTTGTATGATCGATTTTACTTTATCAAAAGAAAATAAAATCCAATACTAGTAAATATCCAAAGAAAAAATTATCAAACAAAAAAAAGAAGGGAAAAGAATCATGTGAAATTTTGATGGGACGATGCATAATTTGAATGCAAATGTTAAGCTTTCAAAATGCCGATATGGGAAAAATAGCTTTTGGTCAAAAGCACAGCAAATATTCCTTTTCATAAAGGATAGTGAAAGACAAAAAAAAAAAAAAAAAAAAAAACACTTGTTGATATTGGCTTCAGCACAAGGATGAAGGACCTTCCCCAAATCCCCAAAACAAAGATGGCCCAATCAAATGACTGAACCGCTGATACGGTATCCAAGGTGTTCCCCCAACCTTCTTTTTTTTTTTTTTCATTGGGACCTACTTCAAATGAGAACGTTGGACCAAAAGTAAAAGAAAAAAATTTTCCTCTTTAAGACTCCTCTCTCTCTCTCCTCTCTTTATTAGACCGTTGCAAACTCGAATCTCTTTTATTATCAAATCTACAATAAATCCCATTTTTTTTTCTCAATCATCTCTCTCTGTGCAAAACAGAGCAAAAAGCGAGAGTAAACTTTCAAATTTCATAAAAAAATGGAAGAGACAAGTGCCTATCAGCGGCAAACCCATCAGCCCAATCTTTCTTCACAATCTATTTTTCATGCCCTTGATCCTATTTCTCTCATTCTTTCTCGGAATTCCAGCATTAGTAAACGCGTTCCTTTAAGGCTTACAACAGAGAGTTATATAATGGAAAGAGGTCCCAGATACAGAGCGTATGCAGAGTTGAGAGAAACAAAGCTGAGAATGAAGAGTGGGAAGCTACAAGAAAGGGAAAAAATTGAACTTAAAAAATCCCCAACAAAGAAACAAGTGAAGTTTAGTTCAAGTTTGGGGATTTCTATGAAGGGGTCCTCTGTTTTGGCTCAATCAGTGCCAGATTTTTCAGCAACTTTGAGGAAAGAGAATCGAAAGCCGGTTACCAGTGGCATTGAATTGACACCACCAGGAAAGAATTGGTCCAAAGGGAATGGAGTGTTGTCGAATTCGAGGGGAAGTAAGTCTGCAAATGCAGGGGAGAAGAAAGGAAGGTTGGTGATGGCGAGGAAGAGTTATGCAAGTGTTGAAGAGTTGAAAGGGATTTCATTGGCTGCAGCCACTGCCATTAATGATGAAAACAGGGGAGGGAAGAATAGTGGCAGAGGAGTTGGTGGTAACAGCAAGACTTTTTTAGGGTATAGACAGTTTTAGAGGGAAAAAAGCTTTGAATTTCACTTTGGGTTTTAAACATTGTTTTTTGTTTTTTTTTTTTTTTCTTATTTTGAGTTTCTTGATTTGATTTTTCTTTTTTTACACGGATTTGATTACTTGCTCCCACATGTTAGGAAGATTTGAGGCTATGAATTCTTTTCTTGTGAAGTCTGTTTTCTATTGTAAAGCTCTGCATGATTAGAATTTTAGTTAGAGGTTATAATCAGTTTTTTTCTGCAATTTGAAATTGTTTTGTTTGTAATGGGAGTTGTTGATCTATCTCTGACAAAAATGTGAAGTAATAAGTTGACTAATGGACAGGCCAAAAACATTCAAGAGTTTATGTTCAGTCAAACTTTCCAATTAATTTTCCTTTATTTTTGTTGCTAGAGCCCATTAGGGATAATTTTTTTTTTGAACCAGGAAGTAACTGGGGAAATTGCTCGGTACCATCAAAGGCATAATCCTTGCAAAAGAAAATATCAAATGAAAAGATCTTTACCTTTCCAAGAACTTGTACAGTTGCAATGCTCATCTACAAAATATCAAATGATTTGATATACAAAAGATACTAACAAATCACGGGCCTGTATGTAGTAATTCAAGGGGAAATCAGGTTTACAACAATTTCCTTGACTAGGTTTTAAAGAATATCCCAGTTTATTTCAGCATCAGTCTGGATGTCAAAATCTGTCCATTTACCCATTCAATAGCTCATCTCCCATTCTATTAATTCATCAGGAACCATCCAAGCCAACTTGGTTCACCTTCTAACTTCCTCTGCAATGTCTCAAATCAGCATTCCTGACTTCATGAAAAATGGCAGACTACTTCATGCTCTGTATCCAGATTTACAGTATCGAGTATCGACCATATTTGGAATCTAAACATTCTATTGCATAGTCAACCAGAAATCCTCTAAGCTGATTATTTCTTTGTTCTGACCAACACCAACAAGAGAATGAAAATCTATCCGCATCGCACCAGCAATGGTTTCACAACTTCATCATGTACATAAGGCCCCTAGAGAAAATCATCTGAGCCATCTGAATCACAAGGAGTCACATTCCCAAACAACAGTTCTGCTTTCAAGATAGACTCCTTTACATGGATAAGCTTGGTTCGCGATAATACAAGACCAACATTACTGATTGCATGCAACATGGTAGAAATTCGATTGACAAGATTAGTCATCACCTCATTACCATTTGTCTCTTTGTCCAATGAAGTTGCAAAATCCGGAAGATCTGCATGACTTTCTGTTGGTTGTGCATCATCATGAGTAATCCCAGCCTTCCAGATGCAACCTATGTCCTGGAACAGGAGGGCAATATGCAACAAACTACAATGAATCATCCTTTCTTCTTTTTTTTTTTTTTTGTGGTGAAAGAAGGGAATGGAAAGGGCATATTAAATCGTGTTACAGATAATAAATTACTTAGCTGGTCTAATCAGAGTTGTGCATGAGCTCATTTAATCTGCATTTTCTACTACTAAAATACCAAACAAGTTCTTTGAATAACATGAACATATCTGCACACACAGAGGAAAATAAAAGGGGCGCTTGTAGCTTAGGATTTAAGTTCTTTAGCTAAGCTTTCATCCAGGCTGCTGTAAACACAACTATCATTTGAAGCTTCAAGAACATAACCTGGGCTAAAATGATTGCCATGGCTCGCAAATCCAACTGAAGTCCTTCATCCTTTGCCTCAGTCTAAGAAGTATAAAATATAAAAAATAAAAAAAGTCAAAACTTATAAATGCCAAGAGCAGCTGTTGTCTAGGGCCCGAACCCTCAAGCAAAGCAAAAAAATTCAATGGATTAACTATACAAAAGCTGTTAGCCATACAGGAAAGACATCGAAAAAAATACTAAGAGCCAATAAAATTGCATCCTATGTAATATTTACCAAAGAAAATCTAATCAAAGTAGAATGAGCTAAGTAGCATAAAAGGAAATTTTCATAAAAGAAAAATGTAAAAGCAACTAAAATATACAGATTGGCCAAAAAATTAGGGGCCATCATATTTCTGGAACAATTATTTACCCTTAAAAGCAACCTAGAATATATAGATAACTCTTTGACAGTTCCACAGAAGCTATCAAATATGAACATCCACAAAAACTAGGGGAAGGTTCAAGTTATGAACTTCAATCTAAAACAACTTTAGCTAAGCTACACCAATATTGTCTCTGTTCAGCTGGTTTGAATCTGGGTCAAGTATTTTGTGTTAAATTGCATATTTTTATGAACTCCCGTAAGTATAATTCCTAATGGCAGTATTAATTCTTCAATTAAATTTTAGTAATACAGAAGCAATTAGGCAGTTTATTTATCCAATTGTAATAACGTGGAAAAGGTCCTTCAAAGTTCAAACCTTCCAATGATACAAATAGACTAGGCTTTCAATCTTTTGTTTTGTTTTCTTTTCCATTTTTTTTTTTTTTTTTGGTTCTCTTATTCCTCAATGGAGAGGGGGAGTTGAACCTTGGACCCTGATCCCACTCAGGGAACAAGAACTGCTAGGCTAAACCAGGTAATGGGGTTGGCTAAAAGGTATTCTTATGATCTTCCAACATGCATTTTATCCCTAACCGTCGGTAATTCAAAATAAACAAGGCAGCTTTCATTGTAAGAGAACTAAAAATGCAATTTGGGACCAAAGACAACAATATCAAATTCTAAAAAGACAAAATATAACAGAATATATGTTGGTAGTTTAGAATGTGCTGTATTCTACATTGAATAGAAAGATTTAATTATTGATGAATAAAATTAATTTTTGTATTAATTTTATTTATATTTTAAATAATTATGTTTGAACACAAATAATTATCACATGACAAATGATCATAATTATTTGAATATAAATAGATTATTATTCATAAAAGTCATAATTATACAAAAGTTCATAATCATCTGAATAGAAGTTTATGACTATTCATTCATTATAAATAAATATTTCAATATAACAATTTTTCCTACTTCTAATCGGAGAGTTTGAGGTTTTGTTGTATCCTAAAGGCATAATTGCTTTTAAAAAAAGTGTTCTTCATGCTTCAAAGCCAAAATTCTTTTTTGTTATATCTCTTCTCTTATTTATTTTTTCTAACAATTTAAAGGCAATTATGAAAAAGTTATATTTTGCATAAGAAAGAAACAAGGAAAAGAAATTGGCATGATTTGAAGGTCAGTATTAGAGAAGGCTCAAAGTGTCAAAGGATTAATATTTCTATAGACCAAAATATTAATTTTCATAAAGATCTTCATTAGAGGTATGTATTTTATTTTTTGCATAATTATTAGTAAAAAAATTGACTAAATGAGATAAACACGTTAATAATTTATTTCATTAGTGTGTAAAGTTAAAACACAATATGCAAAATATTGATTACATTGTATAAGTTTATGTATATACTGAAACTGATTCTATAATTTAGTTTAATTAATTGTATTATATATATTTGAAAAATCGATGCTTATATAGACTGGGATGAAAAATAGCTTGAAAACATAAAAGAGAAAGATATGAATTGATCTACAATTGAAAGAATTATCACTTGTTATAAAGTAACGAATTAAATTGGGTTCTAATGGAATGACTGATTATTTAATGTCATGTATTGGTTATATATAGATTAGGCAAATTGTCCTATGGTTTCTATGAAAACAATCGAAAATAGGTAAAAATATTTACCATGAAAAATTAGATATAAGTGAAAAATATATGTAGAAAATAATATTTGACAGCGAGATTAGTTTTATTTTTAAATCATGGCACTAAAATTGAGATAATAAGTTTAGTCAAGCTATTTGTATAGTTCTATCTTTGTTGGTCATTTATAAATCAAATGTTGATATATATTTTAAATTTATTATTGGTTTAAATTTTGACTTGTGTTCAATTTTCATGAAAACCAATTAAAATTAAATAATTGTTAAGATATGGTGTTTCATGGATTAATTGGTGGATAATAAACCAAATAATTGTTGAAATAAAATTTTATTGTGAACAATCACAAAGTTGAAATAAAAAATAGCCGTTAAAAAGTTAATCAATGATTACAAAAAAGCATTATTGCTTTTCGCATATGAGATATTGATTAAATGAAAATGCATGTCATTAAAAAATATTGAAGTATTTGTCGGTTATTAGCATTTTGAAGGATGTTTTTCAATGTCTAATTAGGCATGTTTATAAATTAGAAAAGAACATGCAAATTCAATGTTCCAAAGGTACTAATACATGCATGTGTTTAATTCCATTTTGTGATGGCATAGAGAATATTGGTATAGTTTGTCATATATTACGAAAATGAACTGAATGAGATGAAATTTTTTTCTTATACATATAAGAAAGATATGGACTATGGAGATAGAATGCCATCATTCAATTAATACGTTATTGGTTAAAGACAAAGAAGATATTTTTACTACTTGTACTTGAAAAAATGGCTTTTTGCATGCTATTAAAAATGAAAATTGAACAAGTTCTTGAAGTTTTCACTAGTTTCATGAAAATGGTAAGGATATGGCTAGTTATACACCATATTAATATATCAGCTTAGATAATAATATTGGATTGTGAAAACCGTAAGCCTTAGAGTTAGCCAATCAATGATTTAACCAATGCTAATTAATCATGAATTTTTGCATGAAATATGAATAGAACTGATAATAGCACTATTTTTTATTCTATTTTATGAAATGATTCTTTAGGTTCATGTTTCATGACTTGTATTGATATAGTGATCAAGATATGAACATATTGATCACAAAAAGATTGTGAAAGTATTTAAAATTGAAGTTAAATATGCTATAGACTCATATTTTACATAGGCATATTGGTTTTAAGAGTAAAGTTTGAATTTATTATATATCCGAAAATATTATGACCAATTAAAAGTGTTAGATAATATAGATATATAAGTTGCACAATGGTGGAATTGGCTACTGAGTAATTAATATGCATTGAAAACTTATGATAACATTTGAGATAGTTGATTTTCACAAAAAGCTATC